CGATTCTGTGCCGATTTCGGTTGATAATAACGCTTTGTCAACAATATATATAAATATATGCAATATTATAGTAAAATAATTAAATAGGCTTTATATTGATTCTTTTATAATATGCAATTTCGTGCCGATTTTTCCACAGCTTCCCGATTGTATTAAATAAAATAACTTTTTGTAAATAACTTTTGTCGTGTTAGAAAACTATATCTAATAATTTAGAGTCATTAGACAGGTGACTTTTAAACTCTTTTTCTATTCGGTCTAATAATATTTGCTTAAAGTGTATTTTTTCATCAATTTTTAAATGCAATTTTGATACCTGTGTACAATATATCTGTGTCCAGAACACTTTTGGCGTCCGTTTTCAACTCAAATTTCGGCGACGGGCCATTGAATTTAAGGATATTGTCTCTTTTGGTTGTTGTTTATTGATATCAATGTGTTGACGACGTATCACAATTTGTACCTTCGGAATTTTAATGATGAGCAGAAAAAAGAAATAAAGATCATTATGTCTCGTGACGCCCTTTTGACATGCGGCTACCCATGGCAATTCATCCCCCTCTCCTTAAATACGTTCCTGTTCTATATACGTTCTCAAAAATATTATTATCATTACCTATGGCAATAAGAGTATTATACTTTCAGGATTTGCTGCAATTTTTCCGGAACAAGAACGCCTTGTAAAATATAATTCAACTATCTTCTGCAACGGACGTTTGGCGAAATATGAAAAAAAAAAATTGTATATTTATAATGCATTACCTACATTAAATTAAATCCAAATCACTTTTATCGAGTTTATCAGCTTATTATATTATTCTATTAGACAAAATTATATATTAAAATATAATATTTTATAATGTTTCGTATATAGGTACCTACATACATTCGTCCTCCAAATACTCGTAATCGAAAAACTTTTTAAATTAGTCTAAATTTATTTCATTTTCGTAACGGAAAATATTATATTATAATAATACGACGGCGAAAAAAAGATTTTTTTTTTTTTTTATAAGATATTATTATCATGGTCTCCGAAACCATAATATGAAATATAATACCTACGTAGTTACCTATACCTACTCGGTACTTACTTATACTTTTGATGTACAAAAAAGAAAAAAGCCACTAATGATTACGAACGAACTTTTGAAATATTACGTTCTATAACGAAATAATACAGTAAAAACAAAATGATTAAAACGGTCAATACTCGTAAATAAATATGTTAAACGGATATATAAATTTGTTTACTATATTACGTTCTACCTACGCAAAATAATAATCGTCTCGAAACTATGTAATACCGCGGATTCGACAAACGGCGTATCTGCTGAACGGGGGCGAATGGGGAATTTGCAAAGGCCGTATTATTATATGTGTGCATCGTTATTTGTTTTAATGTTTTTACAATTATTTTGGATGTTTGTGTTTTTCGTAAAGTAGTAGTGAGAACGTAATAACGCGCTGAAATCCGTAGACATTTTTGTGGCAATGATTATGGTCGAACCGGATCAAGAGTGTCTGGTGTTATCGTTTCGTTTTGAAGGTTAGACGGCTGTTTCCCAATATCGTCGATTTCAAGTCACGAAATTAGCGTGCTAGGATCGCTTATGCGGGCTTGCAATGTTGCATATTTACCAAGAAAAATGTATACCAACGGATGATATCATTGAAAAATTCTCTTCTATGATTAACCGGACGTTAGATTTTTTATTCGATTTTTATAATATGCACCGTCATATTATAATTGACTAAATCAAATTTTCTTATTTTATGTATTAAAATGTTATGTTTTACAGACATAATGGAGCCGAATTTCCGTGTCAAATTATTGTAGCTGTGACGTTACTTTTTCAAAGAATTTCTATTTTAAAGAGTGGGTGAAAATTTATTTTCGAAGAGACATAACACTTTTGTTTATGGAAGATAGATATTTATTTTTATAATTTTTTTTTTACTAACAAATTCAACTTTGTAATAAACCTTGAGTAAAATGTCCAAACATTTCTGCTCTGGCAAAAAAATTGTATGCGTTTAAAACCAAACAAAATTTAAAAACCTCGAAAGTAAAAGATGCCAAGGAATAGCTAAAAACAAAAACCATCAGAATGTTTTGAGAATCTTAGCTATGTCTAAAAAAGGTAAAGATCAGTAATCTGCCGAAATCGTATGTTTCTATGAATTTTTCAAACCGAATTACTACAAAAAAAAAAAAAACAACACCCAAATATTAATGTAACCGTTTGTCGTTTTTCCTAATGTTTTTTAACATTGCAGTCTGTTCACTTTTAGATGTCATCAAAGCGAATTATATTATGTCCGTTGGTCATTACTCCAGTTACAACTATCAGCACTTGTATTTTATGTATTTTTATTTCCCGTCTTAAAACTGTATTATCCGATTCAAACAATATTGGATCCTATTTTGAAATTTAAAAACGGCAGGCAAAAAGTCGGTTATTCACCGTCGACATTACTGTAACATGTTATGTTTAATACAATTGATATATTTTCGGGTAATTTTTCGGAAAATAAACTGCGGGTTTTTTTTTCCGAATTTCTTTCCCGATTTCATTCTTTCGGGGGAATTTCGATTACCTCGATAAAGATATTTCGCTCGCGTTTCATCCGCGAGCGCCGTCCGGGCGATTTTAATCGCCTCCCCCTCCCCCTGCCACGCGGAAAACGATGTTCGTAATCATTTCGGAAAAACGCCAAAAATAGTCTCAAACGAACGCGGCCATTCCGAATTCGCCCGGGACGAACATCACTAGACGGCCGGCGAAAAGCCGCGCGGAAAAAACGAACTCGACGCGTTTATCAACGACGATACAATTGGCTTTGAACAGCGGCGGTCCGGCGGTAAACCGCGTCCCCCCCGGAGTCGTTAAAAAATCTCCGCGCGCACGTATAATAAACACGCATAGTGTGTATTCCGGCGTCGTTATAGTAAACGGCGTGAGCGGCCGGCCGTCCGTGCGTAGCGGCGTTGAGTTATCGCGCACACCGTTACAATACATTGTTATTGTGTGCGTGTGTACACGCGTGTACGTATATATGCGTACGCGCGGCGCGTATGAGTATTTATTACCGTCAATAAACGGCGGTGCGAAAAGGGTTCGCGACGGCCGTAATTTATAGGCGCCGTCCGCGGCGGCACGGGAAACGGCCGGGGCGCGCGTGCCGCACGGGGGACGGTCTCCCCGGCGACCGGCCGCGCTCAAGTGCGCGGGAAACGGGCGAGAAAGCGAACGCGGTCCAGGGGGCGTGGAGGAAAACGCGTGACGGGGCCACGGCCGGACGGGCCTCGCGACCGCCCGGGCGGCGCAGTCGACGGTCATGCACACCGCGGTACACGCCGCACGGCAACGCGCCCGCAGGCCGACGGATCGCCCAGAGGAGACGCGGGACGGTTCTTCGAGCTAACGAGCGTCAAATCGAATTATAAATCCGTCGTTTGGGGGACAGTCACTGCACACTCCGTCGGCGTACCCGGGGCCGGTGGAACAAAACGCGACACCGTCTTCTACTGCGTATTATAATTGCCGACTGTTATTAGCGTTTTTATCGAATACGAAATGAGGACGAGAGAATATTCCGCACCGTGATTTTCTCGCGTTTTCGTACGGATAAGAAGAATGTTCCGACGTGTCGATGATATGGCACCGGTCACCCAGAACGCTCTGAGATCGATTAGCGATCTGCGTGAATGTATTTTAAACGAGGCTGTGGAAAACGTTAAGGTTTACTTCTTAAAATGGAGGCTCGAACCTAATGTATATTTAAAACTAGTTTTGTTCTACTTTTCGTTTGAATAACACAGAAGCTAACACGAATCTACGCCTACATACCTTGCGGGAGTAACCTTCGGTAGAACATCGACTTACGGGGGACATCTCGAAAATAAAGCGAGCAGCATTAAAAACCGATTTTCGTTTTCTGTTTTTTTTTTTTTTTTGAGGGAAAAATATAGCCTGTTAATATCTAATGAAGGAATAATTTTAAAAATCAGTCCAGTAGTTTTTGGGTTTATTCGATACAAACATACAGATCTTTCCTCTTTATGATATAATTGACATTATAGTATAGATACATACGGATTGTTGACGGAAATCGAAAATTTCAAGACCGCGGAATGAACGAAATGTATTTGGTAACCAAAAATGGGCATAGTGGTTTCATCACAAAAAATAAGAATAGCAATAAAAATAACAGTGATGTAACAATTTAGAGACATATTGTATTAAAATTTATTAAAAAAAAAAAAAAAAAAAACGAAACGAAATTTAGAAAAGTAAACACTTTCCAGGATAATAAATTTCTCAACAAGAATTTATTACCATAAATAGACAGGTATATGGAAAAAAAAAAAAAAGTTTTTCTTACACCATCGTGGATCGTCTGTAATAAAATAACAGATAGCGGATTCCGTAAAATTCCGTTTTACTTGTCAACAATCTCGCGTTAAAACGATAAATACGTTAAAAATTAGCGTGCGCGCGCGGTAGGTCTGTGTAGATATAGAAATCTCGAGAATAAAAATATGTGTTCGGTAAACCCTGTGCGGTGTGTATAACAGCGTTCGCTGAGACCATAATAAATGATAGTTTCTGTGTAATAAAATTATGCTCACGGGTTGGAGGGGTGGAGGGCACGTATCGGAAGTTATCGCGGTGTTCTATCCGAAACAATTGATTTAACAGACACTCGAACACGTGCCTACCTATAAAACTGCTGTTAACCCACTCGACCGATATTGTCTTGTGAAATCGCTAGGTACTCGGCTCTCTAATGCCCGTCTCGAAATCCCGCGGCGGCTAATAGACGAGAAACGATATTATTATTTTATAATCCCCCCCCCCCGGGTTCTCGATAGTATTATAGGTGAGTACACTTTTACCGGCGATATTTCAGGGTACTTTTTAGTGAATATCTACCGCGTGTCCGTTCCGCCATCCCTTAAAAAAAAAAAAAAAAAAAAAGTTCCGCCGACAGATAGACCAAACGTTGCAATAAATAACTTTCGAACTTTCAACGTGGCATTTCGAACAAAATATATTACGTCTTGTTACGAAACCTATACCGATTCAATTATTCACGACGTTTCAATGTCAATAGTGGACATCAGTAGCGAAATCTTACCCCGTACTCGGGGGGGGGGGCCCGACGAAACTTTATACCGCGTATCAGTTTGGACGCGGAAATCTCTTTTGAAAAATTCCAGTAGACGCATGGTGGGCTTTGGTCGGATACGTATAGTGGACATTAGCAGCCGGCGGCTATCGGATTATTGAGCAACGCGGGTAATCAATACGCAGATTATAGTATTACACCACCCTGTATAGTATATATGCATATTGTGTATATCGTTATAAACACTATACTTATATACAGTATAAAACACACGCGCGCGTAATATACGAGTACCTATACGTACTATACTGTAATACGCGTAGTCGTTTAAAAACGCACTCGTCCTTTTCGCGATAAGATTTATGGTAAGCTGAACAATGCATAATATTATAATCTGTATTCGCGAGTGAGTGCGGATGAGATATTTATTTTTTTATTTTTTTTTTTTCCACGTTTATGTAATTTATCGAAAACGGCCGTATACACGACATGTACATCGATACGAACGGCGGCGGTGATGAAATTGTTTCGCGAAAATCACTTGAAAAATCCCGAGGGTTATTGCTTCGGTTCTTGCCATATTCGACGTCCGTATACGTTATTGTTATTATGCAATAAACGGACGGCGTAAAAAATATAGGATATGGGAGCATAAAAGCCCCGGGGCGGGGAGGGAGGAAATATCGTTTTAATTTATTATAAATATATTTAAAAGCAAGTACGCGTACGTATGATAAAAAACCAACAATGTGAATTTAAATAACTACCCGGGCAGTCATTTACAAGAAAATTTTAGTTCGTGCCGGGTAACGCTGAATATTTGATTATGTGCCCGTTCAATGCGTGAATATTCGAATTATGGCGGACTGATCGCACGGTGGAAGAAATTTGAACGAAAAAAAAACAAGACGATTATTACAGCCGAATATGGATTATTGGTACGGTCCGGCAGATGATCCGTATATCCCGTAAACCGCTAAACCAACGGCATATTTACGATTTTGCCGAAGATTCTATAACGTGTGCCCGAACAAATGATAAAGGCTCTTACAGACCGGTGAAAGAAAGTCACTCGGTTAAAATGTGTATTTATAAATACAGTATTCGTTTTCGAGTACGTGATATTAGAAAATTTAAACCCCCACGTTTGCTTAGGAAAATTGTTTGGAAAAAAAATCTCGGGAACTATACTTTTTCGTTCGATTTCTAATCGTTGGTCACAAAAAAAACGAAAGATGGAATCTTTTACCGGCAACAATTCACCCGAGGAAAATGTCAACTCTAATGGTGTACAATCTCTGTTGGTCATTGATGTTTTTTTCTTAAGTTGGACACTGCACGTAAAGGACCCACCCTAAAGGTAAAATCGCAATAAGAAATCGATCGTTATGGTGACTGCGTGTACGAGTTTACAACAATATCGCGGTTGAATTGCATCGCGTAAACGGCACCTACAGGGCCGCGTAGGAAACTTGTGACGATTACGACGTTAGGTCGGGTTGCAAAATCTATAATGGTTTACAGAACCATTGGCGCGTTTACAGATCTGTTAACCAGATTGGGTATTACCCGAACGTTCTGTATTATTTACAAACCTGTAAAAAACTAACTATCGCAACACTAATCTGAAGGTGACTGTAATTTAAAGAACCAAATTCGTATTCGTAACAACTCCTTACGGAACGGTTTACAGATCGATATCATATTTTTATCAATATTATTATTGCCGAAATTTCTGATGTATTTTGCTAAATTTTATATGTAATTTAAATTAAATTATGGCTTTTTTATCAAGTGATGACGAATTTATTATCGAGTTGATGACCTTATTACCGAGGCCAAGAAATATATAACCAGGATTTCGCTGGTTGAGTTTGATGATGAAGATTTCCAACAACGATTCAGATACCAACACAAAGACTAATAACAAAATAATAAAACTCGTTTTTTTTTTTTTTAGGCACAAAGATGCCACAGTTCGGACTCGGTTATCTAAAGTAATCTTGGTTCAGGGTTATCAAATAAAAATGGTTTAGTTTATCCGGTAACCGTTGTTATCATATTATATTTAAATGTATTTGAATCCGTTAAACAAATTGTTTCGTGCAGAACATGAATATGTTACAGAACATGCTACAGAACCATTATAATTTACCGGCGTCTGTAATACACGGGCGTGTATAAAATATTTGTACAGAACGTTTTTGCAACCCGGCCTTAATACTGTAATAATAACACGTAAACATGTACACGCGGCGACAATGACGCGCGGAGGAGCGCCGCCAGCCGGCCGATACGTGCCCGTTAATAATAGTATACCGTAATTATGCGGTGGACCAAGGGGCTCGTGAGGGGAGCGCAAAAGTTCCGCTTGCCCGGAAAAAAAAAAAAAAAAAAACAAACAAACAAACAAAACGAAAAAAAAACGCCGCCGATAAAACTACGTCGCGGCGAAAACTCCGCGGAAATTTATTCGTCGTGTACCCGCGCCGGGTCACCCATATTATCACGGGTCGCGTTTATGTTTTCTGATTAGGTACGTTACACGACGCGTAACATCGGAAACAATACTCTAGACACGGGCTGTGTAGATGTAATGCGCACGGAGTTTTTCGTTCCGCGCACGTTTAGGGTACCGTATAAATATCGTATTTTATTGCGTTTTTACGCCGCCGTAGTGTCGTATTATATGTGACCGCGTCCGGAAAGTATTCCTAGGCATATATGCAACGCGAAAACTTAAACCGTTGATCATTATCGTTTTCAACGTTCTCGAATTTTTCACGATATCATTCATCATTATCATCATCATCATCTTAAGGCTGCACATTGTCGTGATATTCACATGAGATTTTTCGCGGTCTTGGAAATATGATGTTCTTGGGCGCCGTCTAGATCTTTTCCCGAGATCTTTTTTCCGAGGATATTCCTTACGAATGTGTCACGTTTGAACAAGTGTCCTATTAATTTCGTTTTCCGTTTTTTAATATGTGTTATGTGTTACATCCTTTTTTTTCTATCAACCCTTGATGTTTTCGTTCATCTTCAATAGATAATAAACAATACTATTATGGCGGTCTGAAATACTACCCGCAATAACCGCGATTGTTTTTAAATAATACAAACAACAAATAATATGCACAACTGCATTTTTCCATAGGCGACACAGATATAAATTAAATTACAGCGGCCCTTATTAGTCTTATATATACGTGCTGTTAAGCTAACGTCAAAATTGTTTTTGTTTAAAACCGTGAAAAATAAATTATATGATGCTTACCTAATTCGTGGCTAGCATTATTGATGTCTATTCAATTCTAAAATAATCGTTTACATACCTGTAACAAAAAAATAAAATACAAATCGCATTAGTAACTTGTTGAAATATAAAATATTTTTTAACACCATAAAAAAAAAAAAAAAAAAACAGAAGCCACGTTATAAATAATAATTTTAATAATTCTAAAAGATATAATTATTATTTTAACGCACTTCTTCGGTTAAGTTTACCAAATTCGCAGATAATGGGAACTGCAAAGTGGCAAGCCATAAGATTGTGCCTGTTTAGTTATATATTTTTTAAATTATCATAATTTGTTATCGTTATCAGTTTCGTTGTAATGATACTTGCAATACGATGAGAACCGTATATATACATATATGTATACAAAATTGCGCTAGGGCTAAATTATATGGTATACGTATTTGCAACAAGTTTAACAAAATTATTACTATAAAACCGTGGAAAATATATTACAGTCCAAACACCGCAGTATTATAACTGTATAGAATAAAAAACTGATAGGTAGGAGGTAACCATAATATATTACCTATGGGATTTTTTTAATTTCGGGCGAACGAATACGCGCCGCAAAGGTTTGTGACGATTTAATTTCGATACGCGTAGATAGTAAAATAATTGATTACCGGCAGCGGCGCGGCGAAAGTTCGCGGTGCACAAATGGGTTTTTTTTTCCATACTAACATCGAATGCGAATATATTTGCATACTAAAAAAACGAAAAAAACCCGTCTCATCGCGTTGCACGGTACCGACAATCAATTGTTATAGGCACGGCTGTATCGTATAGTTGGTATATATGGTCGCCCGAGTGATTTATCGTCCGCGAGCGGTTATAAACAAAATGGACAATTTCTAGTAAAGACCGACGGTAAAAACTGTCGAAAATTAAAAAAAAAAAAAATCTGCAGGTGGACGGTAAATATTACGGAAACAAAAATAGTCTCGAGATTGGATTTTAAATCGTTTGGTTTCGCACTAAATCCCCTGAAAATAATACGAATACTATACAGGTCGGTAAATACTTAAAACTAAAGAAATTGCTCAAAAAGCCCAGCGTACATTGGACACGTACGGAAAATATATACTATTTCGGCGAGTTTTATTGAAAAAAAGTAATTGTCCAACACTCTTTTTATTAAACGTTTCAGAGAAGGCCCCCGTTCGAATCTTCTCGTTTTTCAACATTTTGCATACGTATAGAACGTATATAAAATATTGATTTAGATACCAATGTGATTAATAACCAAGGGCGGGAATACAAATTCAGGCCTGCAATTAAAAAGTATCCGGGCCAGTCAACCTAACAAGTACCTAATGAACGACATTTTTCTCGCGTTTCAATTTGAATCAGTGACGAATTCGGGATTTTTAATCGAGACGTGCTAAGTACGGTTTCACCCGAGATATGAGCGAAGATAAGAGGAGGTGAGGGGGGAGTGCCGACCTCCCAAACGTACGCAGAAAAGTGAACGATTCGTCGATTTACATTTGAATGTAATGATTGAAACGAAAATGCATTTTAAAAAAAAAAACGTAACCGGCACAAAAGTGCCCAACGTGTCTCGGTCTAAATTTACACCGCTGTTCGAAATAATACGAGCCGTTAAAATGTTTAAACGCCCGACTAGCAGCAGGGTGCTAGGGGTTCGTTGGCGCCCGTCTGAAAAAAAAAAAAACCCAATCGGCTTTTTCGCAACAACGGCTAAATATTTATTAAATATAAATATTCCCATATTGAATACCGGGACGTTAAACGAACACGGATTTCCCGCGG